ATTTTAATTGATCCTGCAAAGAAAAAGATCACAATGTGAATTACGTGGTTCAACACAGTATACAAATATCAAGGTTCAAGCTCATTCATGAAAATTGAGTACTGAATTTATAGGGAATTTCATTTGTAGGGATCACTGGTACAAGAAAAATTATGGGAATTTTAAAAAATGTGTAATTTATAGATTGAGTGCAAGAAACAGAGTAATGTGTTTCAAATTTTGATTTCTTAGTAAACTGAATAATGAAAAAGTTCAAGTTCAGTGCAATCATAGTTGCAGCATTAGACATAAACCTAAACCTTAACCTTTGATCTTGTTTTTGTTGCTAGAAATAGAATACACTTGTTCCATTTCCATCGGACAATTGGGCTAAGATTAATTAATTCTTAGGTCTTCAGGGTTAAAAACCATATATATTTTGTGACATTGTGCCATAGGCACATTTCTCGACCACTGTTCCAACCACGTGAGACTTTGTATTATCCACATTTTTCGTCTACTTCCTCATCACGGTGACATCACCACTTGTGACATTCAATGTTGCATCACTAGCATTACTGGCCCCACCACAATGACCCCACCACTTATAATATTCAATATTATATCAATACTACCATAGTCAGCATCACTTTTTATATTTATTGTTACGCCACCAACACCTATGCAACCACTATTGCCACCATTACATATGTTGGCACAAAAAATCACAAGTGAACATAAAATCTAAAATGAGATGGAATGAGAAGATCTGAACAATCATCACTATACCATATACATCTCCTCATCGCTACTGACCATATTTTTGTCGCCCTCTTGGTACTTAAAAAACCAAGGAATAATTCCAGTTGTACAAGCTCAAAAATGGAATAACAGGAAACAGACTGATATGTGAATTAATAATTGGGTGTTATGTTGTTATTTTATTTTATTAAACTTTCCAATCCCGAGTCAACACATATTCAATTTACCTTTCTTAAGTTCAAATTGATTGATTCTATTTAACTAAATCAATTCTATATTTCTATGTGAATTTGGATACACTTTAGTTAAATGCATAAATCTCTAAGAATCCATGTAACAACTGCATTAACTAGAAAATATATCTCCATGCTTTTATACTAGTTCTCAATTTTTACTACATGGTCTACACAAATAATTCATCTCTCAACGTAACTATCATCATAAAATCTATGAATTAGTGGACAATTAATCCAAGCAGTAAGAATAGAAGTAAAAATAATTTAACAAATCAATCAGGGATTTAAAAATTTTTAATTAAAAATAAGGTTCAAAACTAGGTTACAATCATTCATCTTAACTAAATATTTAATTATATATCATGGGAGAAGAATAAAGTAAGAAGCAATTCAAGTATAAAACCAAGTTTTTTTTTTTTTTTTTTTTTTTTTTTTTGGAAAAAAAAAAAATTTATAAACAAAATTTCCTTTTTTTTTTTTTTTTTGAAGATCTTGCACCAAGATTACGTCTTTTTCTTGTAAAATCTTGAAACCTTATCTTCTTGATGGATAGAGAGGGAGGGTTGAACTTTTAAATTTTTCATGTTGTCAGAGAGTTGAATAATGATTTTTATTTCATAATTTTTTTCCTCCTTTAGGACTCTTATAATAATATTTGTACAATGCATCCCCCAAGCCTCGATTTGAATCTATGTGTCTAAATAAAACTTTACAAGCTTCCTTTAATGGTTGACTAAGGTATGTATTTATAAAACAAGATTTATTCTTTGTTCAAATTTATTCACACCAAAGAGTTTGAGAAGAAAAAAAGAAACAAATCCATTTTCCAATTGAACTCATTTTCTAATGTGATTTTATTCATTCATCTTCTAATATTTACAATTAAGTCCCCTTCATTCTAAAATCATTATATTTGACTCGATGCAAGTTCCAAAAATTTGCAATTCAGTCCCCAAGCTTTTCAATTGTCAAATTTTAACTCTCAAAACTTATGATTTTGTATCGAATACTCCATTAATGCTTTCAATTGATCTCTTTTAATTCGATTAATCTTCGATTACTTCAAATCAACTCCAATTAAACTCCAAATAGCCTCTCTTCACATCAACTAATTTAAAACATGTTTGATCCCCATTTTGGAGATAAAACGTATTATGGAATAGTGACTTTTGAAAAATGTGTGATTAAAAAGTAAGATTTTTTA